TCTTTCAGGTCCCTTTTACCTTTGATATCCTGGGACTCTGGGTCAAGGAGAGGCTCTCAGCAGTGTGGGGGAGGAGGGAGGAGCTGCTCCGGGAGCTCATGGTGACATCACAGCTGAGGCTGCCTTCCCTGTCTGCCCATCACCCCCCTCCCCCACAATAGGCCGTATTTCCACCTCGTCCTTCCTGGCATTTTTCCCCTGGATGTGGCCAGGGGTGGAGGGGATATTTGGATGGGCCCCAGAAGCCAGCAGTGAACCTGAACCCAGCCTGGCCCCTCCTGCCTGGGGGAGTCCCAGATCTGAGCAAGGAGTCTCCGCCTTAATTTCTAGGACATGAGCTGGCAAGAGCCTTGACAAAGAACACTGTCCCTTCAATAAAAGTTATCTCTCTTTAATGTCCTGTGTTGCTGAGTCACAGATTACCCCAGTTTCTAAAAAACCCAGTAACCGATTTAATTAGTCTCTGGTCAGTGTTTTTGTTCTCTCCCTCCCTCCCCACCCTGCCCCAAAGGAAGCAAACCAGCTTTACTGGGGGCTGAGGGGCGGCGGGGGGGGGGGGGGGGATGCAGGGTGTGTGCCATTCGAAGCCCCCTTTCATTCAGCGCATGCAACTTGCTCCCATAGTGTGCTGTCCAGATCGCCAGCCTCACCAGGCCAGGCCTGCTCCTTTGGCTCCTTTGGCCACTGAATTCCTGTTGAGGCCCCTCTTGCAGTGTGTGTGTGTGCGTGTGTGTGTGTGTGTGTGTGTGTGTGTGTGTGTGTGTGTAGCAGAATGACTCCCTGGGTCCTCTGTTTTCCACCTTTAATCCTGGGTTTTTTGAGGTAATCCCAACTTCAAAACATCTAAGCTGAACTCATCTTCTTGCCATATTTCCTGGCTCAGTCACTTCATATCTCAAAATTCTTACAGCGAAAACAGATTATATACCTTGGAGTCGTTTCAACTACTGTATTACCCCATACTCTGACATGTTTCTCCTTGGGGCGGCTCTGAGATTCCCCTCCTGGATTCCAGATGCCTCACCTGGTCTCCTTTCATCCCCTCCACTCAGACATCAAGCCAAATCAATCTTCCTAAAGAACTGCTTGCTTTGTGCCCCTCCCTCGCTCAAGAATCCACTGTAACTCCCAGTTGCTTTCCATATTTTCACATTCTGCTGCCTGGTGGACCTCGGGCCTGTGCACTTCTTCAGCTCATTTCCCTGACTCCCCAGCCAGTCCTTCCTCCCCATAGTCAGCTGGTTTCCTCTCTCTGCCATAAGTTGGATGGTTGTTGGTTATGTCTTCCCTCTGTTTTCATTTCATCCCACCATTTCCCATTTCCCTGTCTTCCTGTCCTTCTAGGTAAAGACATACTGACTACTTAATGAGTCACCATGGCCAAAAAGACGCAAATCAGGCCGGGGAATTGTAAAACATGTTTGGGACATAACAGGGAGTTTTCACCTACAGTAACTCACTGGCCTTTCATGACCATGCCTTGAGCTGAGTAGGCGTCCCCCTTTGACAGGAGAGGAAGGGGATCTGCCTAAACCCCAAGGCAAAGCTGGATCATTTTGCTGGAATCCCCATGCCTTTAGGATCTGCTGGGACTTCTGGGGTCCCCCATACTGGGGTTCAGTAGCTTCCCCGAACATGACTTTGCCTCCTTTCCTGCGGTGTGTTTTCCCTGTCACTAGCTTGTCCTTCACTTCACAGAAAAGTTTAGTGCCCCTCTGCCTCCTCCCTGTCCCTGGAGCACTGGGGAGGAGGATGTGGTGGCCACAGGCACCTCCAGGGGGTGCTCTTTGGGCTGTCTCAGGCAAGGCCCCTGGCAGTCAGGGCAGCTGGGGAAATAGGTTCCCTTTGTCAGTCACCCTTCCCCCGCCCCTCCTCCCCTGTTGGGCTTCTGTGCTCTTCTTGCCACATAACCACAACCCAAAGGGCTGGGGTGGGGTGAAGGTGGTAAGGACGGGGGACTGGGAGCATTCCTCCAACCACAGCAGCCTGCCCCTCCCTGTGGGGCCCCCAATGCAGGCGAGGAGCCAGCCCCTTCCACGCCAACAACTAGAAACCTCCAGCCCCATCCTGTCTATGTTCTGGAGCCAATGGGGGGACTTCTGGGGGGCTTCATGGGGTGCCCAGTCCCCATTGCTCTCTGACGGTCACCTGAAACTCATCATCCCGGATGAGTGCTTTTTTAATTTTCAAAGTGCTTTCCCACCACCATCTTCATTCACCCGAGACTTCCTGGCAAGCAGCTGCTAAGCCTGAATTACCCTCAGCCCTCACCCACTCTAAGGATGACAAGATACCACAGAAATATGGCTGACTTTTCCAGTGTCACACATTTTGGGGGGAATGCAGCCAGGAGAAGGCCTCCGTGCTCCTCCCTCGACCTGGGCAGGGTACACCACACAGTGCGGGTGGGCTGCTGGGTGTCCTGGAGAAAGATGAGGGGACATCTCTCTACCTGTGGCCTGCTATGTCCTGCAGCCCTAACTGCTCCTCCACTGGGACAGCTTAGGGCTTGGGAAGGTAGGGACAAAAGTGGAGCTGAGAAAGGGCTGGGAGCAGCTGGAGAAGGGCTCCGGGCCTGCCTCACCACTAGAGTTGTGACAAGCCCTACGCTGGAAGCAGGCAGTGACCGAGGGTCAAGGAAGGAAACTGGGTTTCTTATAAATAAGCACAGAGAAACCCCAACCAACAGAGCTTGCAAAACATTTCTTTTTTCTCTCCCTCTTCCTGATTTCATCTCAAATGGAGGGGGTGGTGGAAAGAAAGAGGGGAGAAGGAGCTGACAAAATAGCTGTGGCTGAGGCCCCTTCGCTGGGCATTTGCTCAAGGAGAGTTCAGCTGGCGATATGAATCAAGACTGTGTGGGAACCCCATGGATAGGTTACCTCCATTCCATCCATGGCTAGAGATTGGATCCCTGACTCTGGCCCTCTGTCTCTTAAATATGTGCCACTAGTCACGTGATACAGCATGCAAATTTGCTGCTGGATGACTATTTGAGGGGGGGTGCTGTTTTTCAGTGGAGGGTACAGCTGTTCCTGGGGTAGTTTCCATTTTGTTTGTGGTTGTGGGGGAGGAGTGCTGAGGGAGTGGGAAATGGCATGAAGGAAATTGTCACTTCCTTTCCAGAGAATTCCAGAAAGGTTTCATGGGGGACCGGGTATTTTAGGAGCGAGAGCTGGCTCAGAGGGGACAAGGAACTGGAGGAGAAGTCTGCTTTGTGGCCCAGCTGACCATCTGGCCCCCATGTTTCCTGGCGTGTGTGAAAATGCCACGGGTGTTACTAGCAGTTCGGTGAGAGCCATTGGCTCAGCTGAACGGGTGTAGATTTAAACTCACTCCACGGAGACTGTGGACGTGGCTTTCACATAGGGGCCGTTTCCTGTAGAGGAGGCCCAGATGGGTGGGTGCTGAGCACTGCTTGACGTGTCCCAGTGACAAGCCCAGAAAGGGTCTTTACGTCTGCACCACCGCACAGTTGTGGTGACGCAGGAGCAGCCCAAACCACTTCTATTTTGCTATTTTGGTTTTGAAATGCAGTCAGAATCACAGAGAGCCAGAGGTGTGCATTTGCAGGCCTGGGCCTTGGGCGCGCCCTCCCTCCTGTGGCTCACACACTCCCACGCAGTGCCCAGGGCCATAGTCTCTCACAGAGGCTTTGCTTTTAGCCCAAGTAGGACTGGCCCTGGGAGCCAGGGGTCCTGCAGTGGCCTCCAAGGGAGTCAAGGGGGTGGAGCTCTTAACACCCTGGGAGCTGAATTGACTGTAGCAGTGACAGGTCGGGGTGGGGGGAATTCACCACCGGTTACTAAGGGCTCCCAGGTGCCTCAATTTCTTAAGTTAAGTGCCTGTGTCACCCCTTACCCCCCTACTCGCTGGCAAGACAGTGCCCAGGGCTCTGGACCATTGAATCTGCATCTCAGTGTCTCAGTGCATCTCTGAGGACCCTGGTGAGGGGAGCCCCTGGTGTGGGCCTCTCTGGTCTCCAGCAGGGCGGGCCTTCTGTGGTGGTGGCTTCTTTGGTTTCAGGTTCCTGGGAGAGGGAGGTTATTTTGAGGGACTTGGGGAGGTGGTTCAGTCCTCTGCTGGGGAGAGTGAGCGAGCATGCAAATGAGCCCCTCTCCACCTCTCACTTTCAAATCCTCAAACATCTAAGGGGGGAGAAACGAAAGTTTCTGGACTGGAAGGTTCCATGGTGGTGGGGGTGGGGAGAGAGTGATCTTAGCCTCGGCCAACAGAGTAGGACAAATGGGGCAGCTGCTTGCCCCCTACACCCTTCACCTTAGCTTCAGGCTGGAGCTCAGGCAGGAGACACCAGTATGAGCTGTGGGTGATGTGTGCAGCCTCCCAATACTCACAGGCCTGGGCCAGCGGGATCTGTACCAATCACGTCCTTAATTTAGAGACTTAGACATCTGGGCACAACGAAGACAAATGGATTAGTCTCTTTTATTTTAAACCTTCCCTCCTTGTGCTGCCCTCCCCTCTCCCACCTCCTCCCTGGCAGAGTGGACCTTGAGGGGCCTCACCCCAAGAACCCATGGGCCACATACATATTCTGCAGATATTCTCTCCCTGGAAAGCATAGGGGGCAGGGGCAGTGGCAGCCCACACCCCTCTTCACCACAGCCTCTTTGAGCCGCCGTGAGCTGGGGAGCAACAGATGACTGAGCTTGCTGCCCTGATGGCCTTAGACACGCAGAGGCTCTCACACACATGTCCCCATACTTAGGACACATGGGCATGCCCTGCACACGTACATACCTACCATGTTTGCACACATGCAGCGAACTCTCATTGTAAATTACAATGCAAAAATATACAGATATTATACACATAGAGTGCACACATTCCTCTCATTCTTGTATAAGCCAGAGGATATGACACCCACACCACACCCAGTGTACAAATAGATATACTTTATTGCCCAGAAAACACAGCTCACTTGTACAGAATGACCAGTATCATTCATTCATTCATTCATACGTTCATTCCACAAACAGGAATTGAGTGTCTTCTCCATACCAAGCACAGTGCAAGGCTGCTAAAGTTTCATCAATGGCCAACACAGTCGTCCCTGCCCTCAAGGAAGCCACTGTCTAATGGGGGAGGTAAGGAAGGCACACAGAGGTTCCGCAGGCTGAGATAAGGGGCAGTGAGCTCACAAACATGAAGAGAAGCCAAAGGGATGAGCAAACCTGAAGGCCCACGGTGGGAAGGCCTCAGGCCCTTGATGGGGGGAGGGAACAGACACAGGAGTTTCAGAAGTTTCATGTTTAGACAAAGTGGGATTAGGTGAAAGTGATAGCCTTTCATTTGATTAGTTTGAGAATGCTTCCTGGGGACAGACAGGCGGCCTGGCCTGTGGGAGGCCTGGAGCTGCGGAATGTGGGCCGTGGGCACTCTGGGTGGGGGAGACAGACCTTCCGAGCATAAATGGCCTCGGGAGGCTTCTCGGGTCACAGGAGACCGGGCCACAGGAGTCCGGGTCATATACAGGGTGGGGTGGGGGTGGTGGGGAGAGGGAGGGGTGGAGCTCAAGCAAGGACCCTGGTTTGCCAGTGCTTCCTCTGCCCTGACAGGCACCCGTCTCTCATGCACCCAAAGGGAAACTCAAACCTGACAGCTTGAGTTGAGTGACTTCTCAGAGTTTTTATTGGGGGGGTGGGTGGAAAGGTGCGGGGATGAGACTGGGGGTGGGGAGAGGGTGGAGCCAGCCCTGTGGGCTAACGGAAAGGAAGTGGGAGAGGCCTGGGTGTCTTCTGTGGGGGAGAGCGGTCATCAGGGAGGTCACCCGTGGTCCCCCACCCTTCCCTCCCTTTGCCCCTCTCTGAAGTTCCTCATTTCTTTCCTGCCAGGAGAAGGTTTTGCCACCCTTGGCACTGCCAAAAGAGTGTCTAGGAGGCAGGGGTCAAGTGTGTCACTCCCACTATGGTGCCTGGCCCCAGTTCTTCAGATGCTCATGGTTGAACCAGGCTGTTTTAGACCCAGCACGTGCGCGCGCACACACACACACACACACACACACACACACACACACACACACACACAAAATGTCACTAAAAACAGAACACTGAGGGCCAAAGATGTAGCACCTGCAAGTGGAGAAGCCCAACTGTTCAGGTCTGGCGGAGCAGAGCAGATGGACAGGAGGGACGTGGGAGCAGGAGCGAGCCTTTGGAAGGCAGGCATGGGTGGGACCGCAGACAACACGTACAAACATAGCAAGCACAGGAAACAATTGGAGGCCCGGGTGCCATGTGAATGCCTGAGGTACAGACTGTGAGGCATTCAAGGAGAGGAGAGACGTGCGAACTACAGCAGACAGATTTCCTGGAAAGGGAGGGCCCCTGAACCGGCCCTGGAGGATGGGCCAGGTTCCTTGGGCCCTTCCCCCAGCCAGGGTTCTCCTCACAAGTTCCCAGGGTGACAGTTCAGTCTTGAAACTGAAAGCAAAGCTGAACCAAGAACACAAGCCCACAACCAGCATAGAGGCCAGCGGGGTGATGGCGGGTGGTGATGAGTGGGCAGATCTTGGGGCCCACCTGTCCCTGTCCCCAGGCTCTTTGGAGGCGTGGCCATGTCTGAGTCCCATCCCCACAAGCTGGGTCAGATGAACGACACAAACCTCACAGCAAGACATTTCTTCCTCTGTAGATTCTGCCCTTCAGAGCTAAGTGACCCCCTACTCCCAAGGTAAACTGAGCCAGGCAGCATCTGGCTCACATGTCCTGACCCACACCCCTCGCACAAGAGTCTTTCCTGAGCCAAAGGAATTTTTGGCCTTTTTCATGCCATTGCCCCATCCACAAGGCCCTGATTTTCCCTGTGGCCACACCCTAGGGACTAATGTGCAGGGTGGAGAGCGATCAAAGTCCCTCTCTCTGTCACCTCCAGAGGAGTGGGGGAGGGAAGGAAGGGAGACTGCCTAACTTCAGGGCCAGCTCAGGTGCAAATGCTGGTGACTTAGATGGGCACCGAGGCTTGGTCACTTCCCACTGGAGGTGACTCAGTTACCTTCCTTTCCCCTCTTTCATTACCTGCCTCCTTTCTTCTCCTTCCCCCTTCTTCTCCCATTGCCGGCCCCTTGTAGCCATCCCCTCCTGGCAGTCTGCCCTAGCACGGTGGGGTCCCTCTGATTGGCCAGCTGTCCTGGGAACAGAGCTCAAGGAAGGTGATTTACTCAGTGCCCCCACCTCTCCCTTCTCTCTAGGTCACTCTTGCGGTTGGCCCAGCCCAGCATGCAGCCTTGAACTTCGCTTAGGCCACCACATACTCCAGCTCTCTACACACCCATTCTCCTGTGGCTTGAGTGTAGGCTCTAAGCTCCAAGTTACCTGAGCAGCATCTCTTCATCAAGAAAAACCCGCGGCTCCAGAGGGCCCTGAGAATTCTGCTGTCAGCTCTGAGGAGACAGCATGGCTATAACCCTGCAGCCCAGTGACCTGATCTTCGAGTTTGCAAGCAACGGAATGGATGATATACACCAGGTACAGCCCCCAGAGCACAGAGCACAGTCAGCCAGTACAGACGATCAGATAGACACAGACAGGCAGGCAGATAGCCAGCTGGTTGGCTGGCTAGCCAGTCAGCAAATATTGATCAAGCACCTACTAGGTTCAGGGCACTGGGCCCACTTGTCAGCTAGACTGTGCCAGCTAGCCACTCACAAAGCCAGTCAGTAATCATGGGGTGGTCATTTAGTGAGCTGGTTGCCCACGTGCAATTACAGGGCACGTGCAGTCACTAAGTCAGCCAAGCAGCTGCTAAGTACACCAGCTGAGCTGTTGGCTAGTCAGCGACGTGGGCTGAATGCACAGTTGTGCACTGACCTGCCTATGCTTTTTCAGCCACTTCCCATCACCCCAGAGTCACAGTGACAAAGTTGCTGGGACAACCACATAGCAGGAGTGAGCACTGCCAGCTGGAACCGCAGGGCAGAGTCCAACCCCTGGCATCAGGCTCACGTCTCTAGCCTGGTTGATGGACCCTTCCATAACCATCTTTTCAGCCTCGATTTGAAATTCAGGATACACTGGAAATGGAGTCTTCTGGTTGCAGGAAGTTGAAAAATAGGACAGACTTCTGTCACCCGAGTCCCCACCACTCTGTACCTTGCCCTGCGGTGGGGCTAAAACGTTTTCTGGGCACTTAGCTGTACCCCTCAGATAGGGTCCTGGCACACTCGCCACCATCCACTCCCCTCTTTTTACAAACTGGCAGCCAGCTACAGTGGAAGGAATGGAAGAGTAGGAGCCAGGAGTCCTGGGTTCTGATCCTAGTTTGGCCACAGTGTCACCTATGCAAGGCCTGTCCCCTACTGTATCTGGCTACCATCTCTCCATCTTCACCAAGGGGAGATCCACCTGGATCACCTCTAAGGGCACCTCAGCCTAATTCTGATGCCCTCTATCCTAAATCCTTGTGAAGATGGAAAACTTTGTGCAATCTCTAGCACACTACAAAAGGCTGCCCCCTAGTGGGCTTTGAGCATATTAAACTTTCTGTCCAGCCGGGCCTTACCCAAGTTGCTCAGTTTTATTGAACACCCCTGAAGTGCCTAGAGGAGAAAGCAAGAAACTCTAACCTTACCTGGATTCTCAATGCTACAAGTCATTTTTTTACTTGTTTCTAGTCTGCTCAGCAGCTGTTTCTGTTCTTCATAGAGGCTGTTCATAGACACTCCCAACCCCATACCTTCTAGCCCCACACACGCCCCTGTACCCTCAGCAGACAGCCTCTCCTCCAGCCCACAGAGAAGCTCAAAGCCAAGGAAGCCAACAGTTTCCTTCCATCCTCCATTTTGTTGACAACTTCACTGTTCTTTTTTAAAAATATATTTTATTGATTTTTCCACAGAGAGGAAGAGAGAGGGACAGAGAATTAGAAACATCGATGAGAGAGATACATCGGTCAGCTGCTTCCTGCACACCTCCTACTGGGGATGTGCCCACAACCAAGGTACATGCCCTTGACTGGAATCGAACCTGGGACCTTTCAGTCTGCAGGCTGATGTTCTATCCACTGAGCTAAACCAGCCAGGGCCACTGTTCTTTTTTTTAATATTTATTTTTATTGATTTCAGAGAGAAAGGGAGAGGGAGAGAAAGATAGACACATCAATGATGGGAATCATTGATCTACTGCCTCCTACATGCCCCCCCCCCCCACTGGGGATTGAGCCCACAACCTGGGCATGTTCCCTTGACTGGAATCAAACTTGGGACCCTTCAGTCCGCAGGCCAACACTCTATCTACTGAGCAAAACCAAAAGTGTCCCTGTCCCTTCCAAGGGTAATCCTGGCCCTGTACTTACTCTCCTCTCTCCTGCTTCCCTCAAGACCTCAAACCATTGATCAACTCCTGTCTTTCTCTGATATATTTCAGACCTCCCAGACCTTCCTTCTCAACTTAGAACATAATCAGGCCTCCCCAATCCTAAAAGAAAACTTCACAAGCCTCTCTTCCACCCACCTCCTTCAAAATACCACTTTCTTTGTGCCTTTCTTCTCCCCAGCATAGGCTTCAACCTCTGTGTTTACTTTCTCACCTCCTTTTTCTCACTCATTTTAGGAAACAATTTTTTAAAATATAGTTTTGTTGAGAGAAAATCATTGATCGGCTGCCTCCTGCACACCCCACACCAGGGACGGAGCTTGCAACCCAGGCATGTGCCTGACTGGGAATCGAACCATGATCTCCCTGTTCATAGGTCAACGCTCAACCACTGAGCACACTGGCCGGGCAGGAAACAATTTTTATTGCAAAAAAATTTTTTGTATCATGAATACAAAAAAGTGCATAAATCACATACATATGTGTATATCTATTTAAAGAATAACTATAAAATAAACACCCATGAACTCACCACTCAGGTTGAGAAATAAAATGTTACCAGTCTCCTAGAAGCTCCTGATATATAAAACAATGAGAACCTACTCTATGCCATGCCTTGTTCTAAGTGCTTTATGCATATTGATTTGTTTAAATAACCCTAAGGGGTCAATAATATAATCATCCAAATTTTATAAATGAGGAAAACAATGCACAGAAAAACTAGGTAACTTGCCCAAGGTGACCCTGCTAGTTAGTAGAGCTTGGTTTCATACCCAGGCAGTCTGGCTCTAGACCAGGACAATCCAATAGAATATTCTGAGATGCTAGAAGTATGCTACATTTGTGTTATCCAGTATGGGGCCACTAGTCACATGTGGCTATGGAGCACTTGAACTATGGCCAACACAACTGAATAACTTATCTTTATCTTGAAAAAATTGCATTTACATTTAAATAGTCGCTTGTGGCTAGTGACTACCATATTGGACAGACAGCTCTTAACTTTATGGCCTTAATCACTACACCCACTGTCTGCCTCACTCTATCCTCTCTGAGATCCATTGTAATGTGCCTTGGGACTCTAGCACCCCCTGAAACTGGATTAGCCTGGGTGACTGCCCAGTAGCCAAACCCAAAAGCATGTTATTAACTTTTGTTCTTCTGGAACCTTCAAGCACAGAACCGAGTATTCTCATTCTTCTTCTATGAAGAAAGAATTAATAGTCCCATGAAAGAAAATTTAAAAAATACAGAAAACTATAAAGAATGGGGGGAAATCATCCAAAGTCCCACAACTTAAATATAATCATTATGAACATTCTGGTATATTTCCTTCCAAACATAATTTAAAAAAAAAACAAAAACAAAAACAACAAAACACCAAACAGTTTCGATCACACTCCTTTTTTATTTAGCCTTTGTTTGGTTTTAGAACAACTATGTCCTCCAGGGGTCAAATTCTCATCCTGATCATTTTTTCCATTCCAAGGGATTTAGCGACCCCCCTGTTGAGTTCTTGGACACATTTTTTTTTTACTCCCCTGAGAGATATCTCCATTTTAAATATCTCTAGGGTACCTCAAACTAACCATATTCAGACACCACCCTCCTTATATTTCTCCAAAAATCCGTTCCTCCCCCTCTTCCTGGTCCCCCCTTAACATGAACAGTGTCCCCATGCACCCATTGAATCAAACTGGAAATTGGGACACTCTCCCCAATCCAGGCAGTAACTGAGCCCTTACCTTTCTTACTCTCTAATGCCTCTGTTCTTTTGTCTTCGTTGCCATAGACTGAGCCCTAAGATGTCCACAATCTGAGCCCCTAACCCTGGGTACTCAGCGCTGACTGTAGGCTGAGTCCTTCACCTGACTACAGATCGAGCCCCTTGCCCTTGCCATTGACTAATCCTTTCCTGATCCTGGCCATGGATTAACCCATAACTACAGCCAACGAAAGCTGTCTGCCCTTGAATGCAGGTGGTACAGACCTAGCCCATCACTATTAATTAAAAATTCATCATCCAGTGATGTCAGACCGTCGTCATCTTAACAAAGGACAGCTCTTGAGGGTTCTAAGAATTCGAAATTGCAAGAAGAGCCAGATTCTGGTAGGCGGGCTTCCTGGAAGAGGTGGGTGGGTCATGAACCAGATCCTCTCTTCTCCACAGCTGGAAGACCCCTCAGTATTCCCCGCTGTGATCGTGGAGCAGGTACCCTACCCCGAGTTACTGCATCTGTATTCAGGACTGGAGCTAGAAGATGGTCACAACGGCATCATAACGGACAGGACATTGTGCATGACACAGGATCAGATCCTGGAGGGCAGTTTCATGCTGGCAGGTCTGTCCCCTTCCTGGGCAGGGAATTTGTGGAGGACAAAGGGGTTTGTCTTCAGGGAACAGTAGCCCACACACAATGGCTTATAGTGACACATACAGCAAAGGCAAGGCCCCCAACAGTTGGAAATTAGATGGAGCAGTTAGGACAAACAAAAGGTAGTACAACTTCATAGAGGAGGAAGTCATCTAAATGGATTCATGATCTTTTTTTTTAACATTTTTATTGATTTCAGAGAGGAAGGGAGAGGGAGAGAGAGAGAGATAGAAACATCCATGATGAGAGAGAACCATTGATTGGCTGCCTTCTGCACACCCCCAACTGGGGATCGAGTCTGCAACCCAGGCATGTGCCCTGACCAGGAATCGAACCGTGACCTCCTGGTTCATAGGTTGATGCTCAACCACTGAGCCATGCTGGCCAAGTGGATTCATGATCTTTTGAGATGGAGGACAATGAGGAGTGGAGATAGCTGGGGTGGGTGTAGAGAGAAGGTGGAGGACGAGGCTGGGAGGTGGCTCCTTTGCACTGTTCTCTGGGCTGCCCTGGTTATGGCTGTACCCCTGATCTTGTACCCTAAGAGAACTTTTTTTCTCCCCCCTTACCATGAAACCTGAAACCAGATGAAAATGAAGCAACCTCACAAACCATGTCAACCACTGAAGTCTTGCTCAATGTTGAGTCTCCTAACAACATCCTGGATGAGAAGCAGATCTGTAAGTATGAACCTCGGTGTCTTTACTCAAGGCAACACAAATGGTATTGAAAAAGATCATGTCTAGCCCTCGCCGGTTTGGCTCAGTGGGTAGCACCTCGACCTGCAGACCGAAGGGACCTGGGTTCAATTCTAGTCAAGGGCATGTACCTCGGTTGTAGGCTCCTCCATGGGCTGGGCCCTGGTCAGGGCACATGCAGGAGGCAACCAATTGATGTGTTTCTGCCACATTGATGTTTCTCTCTGTCTTTCCCTCTCTTCCACTCTCCCTAAAAATCAATGGAAAAATATATTCAGAACAGAAAATAAATAAATAAAAAAGATCATGTCCATGTGTTGGATTCTCAGACACATGTGCATTCCGGCATATGTACCCACCCCCACCAACATACACATAAACTTATTCTTGAGCTGTGACTGGAATGGGAGGGGCTGGAGGGCACCACGGAGAAGGAAAGGTGGCCAGGGTGACTTTTCCCCCCATTGTTTTTTGTTGTTGTTGATCCTCACCAGAGGATATTTTTCTTTTCTTTTTTTTTTTTTACCCGAGGATATTTTTCCATTGATTTTTAGAGAGTGAAAGGGAGGGGGAGAGACAGAGAGAGAGAGAGAGAGAGAGAGAGAGGGAGAGAGGGAGAAACATCGATGTGAGAGAGACACATGAATTGGTTGCTTCCTGTACACACCCCAACCGAGGCCAGGGATCGAGCCTGCAACTGAGGTACGTGCCCTTGACCAGAATTGAACCAGGGACCCTTCAGTCCAAGGGCCAACACTCTATACACTGAGCCAAACGAGCTAGGGCTTCCCCAATTTTTAAATTGGGATAAAATACACATAAAATTGATGACCTTAACCATTTTTCAGTGTACCGCTCACTGGTATTATGTTCATTTGTATTGTTATGCAGCCATCATCACCATCCATCTCCAGAACTCTTCATCTTGAAAACCGGAAACTTTCTACCCATTAAACAACTCCCCCTCCTCCTCCCCCCAGCCCCTAGCAACTACCATTCTACTTTCTGTCTATGAATTTGACTAGTCTAGGTACTTCAGATAAGTGGAATCTTACAGTATTTGTCTTTAAGAGACTGGCTTACTTCTTTTTTAAAAAATATATATTTTTATTGACTTCAGAGGAAGGGAGAGGGAGAGAGAGATAGAACATCAGTGATGAGAGAGAACCATTGATCGGTTGCCTCCTGCACGACTTCTACCAGGGATCAAGCCTGCAACCTGGGCATGTGCCCTGACCAAGAATTGAACCGTGACCTCCTGGTTCATAGGTCAACGCTCAACCACTAAACCACGCCAGCCAGGCAAGACTGGCTTATTTCACTGAGCAGAATGTCCTCAAGGCCTGCCCATGTTGTAGCACGTGTCAGAATCTACTTCCTTTTTAAGGTTGAGTACTATTGGCCACGGTCACTTTTCAGGGCCCCCTCTCTCTTGCTGGGCTCCCAGGAGGACTACACAGGGTGTGGCTTATTTTATAATGTACAGGGTTCGGTACCTTCTCGTCCCTTTCCTGATCTTGGAGGTTGGCCATCCCTCCCCAGAAGGCCCCCAAGGCAGGCTTTTCCTCCAGGAATCCCTCAGGCATTTGCCCTGACTTCACAGGAGGACTCCTGGACCTAGTAACTGCCCCTTCCCAAGGGGGCTCTGGGAGACAGCGCAGGAAAGAAAGCCCTGAAGCTGCAAGTTAAGAGTCCCAGCATTTCTAATCCTGACTCTGTCACTAATATTCATTCAGGATTCAACAGATAGTTACAGAGTGGCCACATGTACCAGGCAAATTCTTACTGTGTGATCTTGGGCACATGCCCTGCCGTGTCTGGGTCTCAGTTTCCTCATCAGGAAAGCAGAAGAATTGGGCTAACGGGTGTCTAAGGCCCCCTCCAGTTGTAAAAATAAGTGAATGACTAAATCAGGGTGGCCCTTTATCCTGGGTGTCACCTGGAACTTCCCAACAGCAGTGGGCTCGAAATGTGGCAGCCATCGTTGGGGCCGGTTCATGCCCGCAGCTCTACAGAAGTTTGCTCTCCTCATGGTGCGAGACACATGAGGTGTTTTCAGGTGTCTCCTGTGTTTGGGGCTCAGGGGAACAGCACCTCTGCTCTTTCCCCGGGAGCCCATCATTCTCTGGAGCGCTGGGAGAGCATGCTCCTACCCTGCACTGGCCTTTCTTTTATAGTCAGCACCTCCGAACTGCTTCCGGACTCAGACCCCGCTCCAGCCACCACTCTGCCCAACTACCTGTTTCCTGTCTCTGAGCCCAATGCCCTGAACAGTGCTGGTGACACTGGTGACCAGGAGGGGAATTCTCTGGAGGAGCAGGTCTCCAAAGAGGAAAGTTCCAAGAAGACTGGAAAACCAAAGAAGAGAAGTAAGAGAGAAAGAAATGTGTGTGTGTGTGTGTGTGTGTGTGTGTGTGTGTGTGTGTGTGTCTTCAAGGAGCGGGTGGTAGGAGAGGGGCAGTCAGGGAAAACATAGGGTTGAATGGGTGGAGGCCCACAGACACATTAAGAAGACAGCTCTCTGGTATGGCAGTGGTGGATGAAAAGGCCTCCCTTACATAAAGTAAAACCTGGCCTTATTGCTTGGTCCACCCATAGCCTGACATTCCCCAGCCCATTCCTGTCTGCCCGGCATAGGTGTAAACTCTTCCAGAAGTGCCGATGATCCCAATGGATAAAATCCTAGGCTGGGTGTTCAAACACCAGGCCTGGCCCCCATGGCCAGTCCCTGGCCCCCTGGGGGCCTCTGCTGTGTGCTTTGTGTTCTTATCTTCCTTCTGAGAGCTCATGGAGCCGAGACCATATATGGGAGAGGACTTTGGGCTTTCCCAAGCCCTGTGTTATTGATTTACTCGGGTGATAGCTGGTTGAGACTGCCTTGTCATCATGGCAACCAAAACCCCAGTGTCGCACTCACCTGCACAACAGTCACACCTTTAGGCTGCCTTTTCATTCCAAAAATTAGCCTAGGTGGATTCTGATCTAAAAGTGACTCATTGCCCCACATCGTACTGCTGTTCTGGGGCCTGAAAATGAGGGCAGGTGCACATACCTGGGAGCTGTGGCCAAGGAGAACAATCCTGGGCTCTCCCTTGTCTGCCTTGTCACACCCAACTTGATAAGCTCTAGGCCCTCCCGCTTGGGAGCCCGGCCTGCAGCACTTGCCGTGGTCTCAGCCTCACCCTGCTCTCCCCTTCTCCTCAGTCCGGAAGACAAAGGGCAACCGCAGTACCTCACCTGTCACTGACCCCAGCATCCCCATTCGGAAGAAATCTAAGGATGGCAAAGGTATGGCTGGTAGTCAGGGGAGCTGGGATGGGAAGGGAGCCAGGGTGCCTGCCTGGGCCACCTCTCACCACCTGGTCCTCTTCAGGCAACACCATCTATTTGTGGGAGTTCCTCCTGGCACTTCTGCAAGACAGGAACACCTGCCCCAAGTACATCAAGTGGACCCAGCGAGAGAAGGGCATCTTCAAGCTGGTGGACTCCAAAGCTGTGTCAAAGCTCTGGGGGAAGCAGAAGAACAAGCCTGACATGAACTATGAGACAATGGGGAGGGCTCTAAGGTAGGAGCTGCTGGGGGCCCCTGCCCTGGAGGAGTCACCACACTCTTCCTTATGTGCAAGGAAGCCCTCCTGCTATAGGGTCTCCTAACCTTCCCATCTGCTTGCCCTAAGCCATTCCCCAGGCCCTCTCTGGAAGGAACAATTCCCTTCCTCTTGCAGCTCTGTCCTAGCCTTTTCTTTCTTGATAGGAGGACATTTTATGGCCTCCCATCCCCAAGAAGGTCTTCCTTTTTTTAAAAAAATTTTTTTTATTGATTTCAGAGAGAAATGGAGAGGGAGAGAGAGATAAGAAACATCAATGATGAGAGAGAATCATTGATTGGCTGCCTCCTGCATGCCTGCTACTGGAAACCAAGCCCATAACCTGGGCATGTGCCCTTGACCAGAATCAAACCCAGAACCCTTCAGTTCACAGGCTGATGCTCTATCCACTGAGCCAAACCAGCTAGGGCAAGAAGGTCTTCCTTCACATTCTTCAAGCCAGAGAGCTAGGGAGACGGGCCAGAGTTACCCACAGCTGGTGTGTCACACTGGAAGAGTGCTGAACCCCCCCATTATCCATCCATCCTCTGTCGTTCTTCACTCACCCCCTGTCCTCTGCTCTAATGTAGGGTGGGGGTTGGCATTTGAAACCCCTTTTTATGGACCCTTTGAGTCCTCAGGAGATCTCAGAAATTTCATAAAAGTCTTCCAAGTCCAAGCGTTGGCCTTCCCACTACCCTTGTCCTTGAGCTCCCATCTGCCTCCTGGCCAGGCTCCTCCTCATGCTTGCCCTGCCCGAAGGGTGGTATGCCCCGACTAACTCCTCAACCCTTTTCCCCAGATACTACTACCAAAGGGGCATCCTTGCCAAAGTGGAAGGGCAGAGGCTGGTGTACCAGTTTAAAGAGATGCCCAAGGATTTAGTGGTGATTGAAGATGAGGAGGAGAAAAGCGAAGTGGCAGAGGCATCCCCAAAGGCCTCCACCTCCACCAGCACTACCCGGCGAGCCAGCTCCAGGGTCTCATCCAGAGCCGCTCCCCAGGGCAAGAGCAGCCCTCCCTGGGAGAAGCCAAAGGTTCAGCATGTCGGTCTGCAGTCATCTGCAAGTCTGGAATTGGGCCTGTCTCCAGATGAGGAGATTCCCACTACCTCCACCGTGCTGGTCTCTCCACCAGAGGGCCAGGCCAAACTCACCAAAGCTGTGAGGTAAGGGCACTCAAGTTGTCATGAGTCTTCCCATAGTTCCTTGAGTTGTGGGGAGCAGTTTTCAACTTCTTGCAAAGCTCTGCTGCATGTCCAGCCTCATGGGATCCTCGCAGGACCCTTGAGAAGCCAGTAGGGCACTTGATCAAGAAAGGAAAAGCCTGAGGTCACACACCGAAGTGATGGCAAAGTCAGCTCTTGACCTGGGGGACTTGTGTTGCCAGCTAGGGCTATTCCTGCTATCCCAGAGGGCTCCCCAAACAGACAGCAGGGGCCTCCACATCTGGGCCTCTCTCCCTAAGCCTCCCCCACTCCAAAAAAGGGGCAACAGAGAATGTTACAGGAATACCTGTCTGCTTTCCTCAGGCCCTCCAGGCCCACATGCAAAGCTCTTGATACCTCTTGTCCATGCGAAGTGCTTCCAATTTTTCCTGGAAAGGTTGGGCTTTGTCTGAGTTGTGTGTATGTAGCTCTCACTCTGCTGGCATGAGTCACTGAGATGCGCTTGTAAGGAGAGAAGGTGGTAGAATGGAGCAGCGAGGAACATGGGCTCTGGAGTCAGAAAGCCTAGATGTGAGTGCCTCCTACTAGCTGTGTGACCTAGGGCACATGACATAACATCTCTGTGCCCCAGTTTCCTCAAACTGTAAGATCAGATTATTAAACTTATTCAACTCGTGGGCTATTTTGTTTTGTTTGTTTGTTTTATTGATTTCAGAAAGGAAGGAGAGGAAGAGAGAGTAACCTCGATGATGAGAGAGAATCATTGATCGGCTGCCTCCTGCAGGATCCCGAGGATCGAGCCCGCAACCCGGACATGTGCCCTGACTGGGAATCAAACCCTGACTTCCTGGTTCATAGATCAACACTCATCCACTGAGCCACGTCGGCCAGGCAGCCCATGGGCTATTTTGAAGATAGAGGGAAATAGCGAATGTCAATCATTTTGAGTGTCCCTGACTAAGCACTCATTCAATGTTAACTGAAAAACAAAACACCTTCGACTCCTTTCCTCCTGTGCCCTCCTTTCTAGCCAGTTGGGAGGTGCCTCTTGCCTTAACCAAATCTGTTTTCTGTTTCTTCTCAGTGCTTCTTCAGTGCCTGGCAACATCCACCTAGGAGTGGCCCCTGTGGGGTCAGCCTCGGCCTTGACCCTGCAGACAATCCCCCTGACTACAGTGCTCACCAATGGCCCTCCTGTCAGTACTACTACTTCAACCCAGCTCGTTCTCCAGAGTGTTCCACCTGCTTCGACCTTCAAGGACACCTTCACTTTGCAGGCCTCCTTCCCCCTGAATGCCAGCTTCCAAGAGAACCAGGTGGCAGCACCGGGGACTCCACTGATTCTCAGTGGCCTCCCCCAACTTCTGGCTGGGGCCAACCGTTCGACCAATCCCACAGCAGCCTCTGTCGCAGGGGCTGGAGTAGCAGGGCCCAGCTCTCAGCCCCCGGGGACTGTCATTGCTGCCTTCATCAGGACTTCCAGTGCCACAGCAGCCCCTGGGGCCAAGGATGGGTCACTGAGACCCAACTCATATGTGCAGGGCATGGTGACTGGGGCCCCCATGGAGGGGCTGCTGGTTCCTGAAGAGACCCTGAGGGAGCTTCTGAGGGATCAGGCTCACCTTCAGCCACTTCCAACCCACGTGGTTTCAAGGGGCTCCCACAATCTGAGCCTTCTGGGAAACCAGACTTTCTCTCCTCCCAGCCGCCCCACTGTTGGGCTGACCCCGGTGGCTGAACTTGAGCTCTCCTCAAGCTCAGGGTCCCTGTTTATGGCTGAACCTAGTGTGACCACATCTGGGACCCTACTGACTAGATCCCCAACCCCAGCCCCCTTCCCATTCAATCCCACTTCGCTCATTAAAATGGAGCCCCACAACATATAAACAGAGGGGTTGGGGAAGTGACCCACCAGGCAAAGCTGAGCAGCATTTTCATATGGACTGCCTCTAGCAGACTGACAAGTAGCTCGCCTGCCCTTACATTTTGGTGGAATGTCAATATACCAGACTCCCCCATCCCTCACCTCTGCCTGAGGTCACATGGCCAAGCCATGCCCAGTTTGAGCATTCCTGGCATCAGACCATGGCCCTCAAGAGCACTAGGGGATATGCTCTTGCCAGGGAAATGGGCTGGTGCAGTGATGAAGGGATAAACCTCCTGAGAAGTTGGTGGCCAGGGTGGGTGCAGGGGCTTCATGGGAAGATCCATGTTTGCCTGGCTGTAATTCACCGTCCATGTTCCCTCAGCGGGGAAGTGACTACCCCATATGTGAATATCTCGGTATGTATTCGTGTGTACTCATGAGACTGTTTCTTCGTTTCTTTGGAGAAGACAACGGTGCAGCCGTGAGGTCTTTAGGAACATGTGTCTCCACGCACACATCAGCCGCAGAGATGAGGATTTGTTTTAAGGAAAAACATTCCCTAGTCCCCTTTGTACAAAGCAAGACTCATTTGTTCTGAGACTATGGGGGTGCAGGTTGGATCCCCCAAATCTGGAGAGATGTCACAGAGCTGGAGCAGGTCAGGGTAGAAGAGCTCCCATTCGTGTATGCGTTGGAGCAAATGCAGTTCTAAGGGACAGGAGAAGGCCACGTGGGATAAAAGCATAAAGAGAGGAAACTCAGCCCTGGGGAGCAGCCCCCCAGTCTAGACTGAGGGCTTCTCCCTGGACTTGGCCTCATGGCCCACCAGTCACTTGCCAGCATGCTTGGAACCTTGACCGCTGTGTTGAAGGGTTAGATAGGGGCAGAGCACCCCTCCAGAGTTAGACCCAGCCGAGTACCCAGGCAGAGCTGAATTAATTAAATGTTTGCACCGAGGGCTGGGGCTGTAAAACCAGGCTTTGCGCCTGGCCTACACCCCAAATTCTGGGTTCCCTCTTGATTAATGTCGCTCCCGATATTTTCCTGCTGTCAGGCATGGTGGGGATAGTTGTGTTAGCAATGTCGAATGGATCTGCCTCCATCACTGCTCATATGTGCCTGCCATGCAGCCAGTCTTCTACTCACCTCGTAAGTTTGCCAACCCACCCGCCCCCACTGTGGCTACAGCAGACGTTCATGTGGACTGTCGCCCCTCTTCTCCAACTTTCACTCCTGATCCTGATTCCTTCTTCCTCAAGGAGACAGGAGCCAGCAGATGTGAGCCCCCATGGCACTTCTGTCTCTACATGCTTCTTGCTTCCCTCTTTCCTCTTTCTAAGGGGCAACTGATTCTCTCTTAAAGCCAACTCCTCCGCCTAGGGCCTGGATCTCCTCCCCCTCCCTTCTTGGAATTAGCCTGCCTCTCTCCTGCCAAGTGTGGGGGGCAAAGCTAAGATACGTCAGCCTTGGAAACAATTGTTATCTGGTGAATTTGGTTAATGTGAATCAGTGCCTCAGGACCTTTGCTATGTCCTTGGTGCAAAACCATCCACTTGATCTAACTACCTCCCCAGGTTGCTCTTCTCGCTTTCCTTCCGGTCACTGCCAAGCCCACTATCGCCCTCTTTCTTCTTGTTTTCCCCCGTGGGGTGGGGAAAGTATATACGGTTGTGCAGGTGTATTTATTACACGTCTCCAGCACTTGGCATTAAAGTGCCTTTTAAAAAAAATAAATCAGTTTATTATGACAATTTCCTGATGGTGGAAAGTAAAGCATTTTGAGAAAGTTTCCTTTTTTTCTTTCTATTTTTTTGCATAAAGACGCTGCATGGGTTGGGGTGGCCCTGTCTCACTCACCAACTCCATAGAACTCATCATCTGAAGGTCACTGATATCTTCATGGTGACATCAAATGCGTTCACATTTCTTGGCCCCTGTGAACCCTCACAACATGTCACACTACTTCCCATCACCTCCCGCACTAGCCGGGCTCAACTGTGCCCTCTGTCGCCCATTCTCTGTGCAGTGCTGGCTCCAGATCTACCACTTTCAGTGTGGGTGTCCCCAAGGGTCTCATCCATCCTCTTGGCTCTGGATCAGCATTTTGGGGATGAGTCCAACATCTAGAGCCACAGCCCCCACGTTTCTCCCCAGCTCCAGACTCGCATGCCCAGGGGTCTGTTGGACATTTCCACCTAGATGCCTGCCAGGTCCTCAAAGGCAGCCCCGCTCCCAAAAGTCAATTTGAACGTTCCCACATATGCACACAAAACCTTTCCAAGAAAAAAAAAAAAGCTGTCATGACTTGCCTATTTCTGTTCATGGTGCCACCATTTTTCTGACTTTCTAAATTAGACATTTCAGAGCCATCTGAAGGCTGCCTTCACTTGACCCTGTCCCTTCCCCCATCTCCTGAAGTCCAGTGCCATTTACCATGTCTCGGACCTTTCTTCCACATTCCCAGAGCCTCAGACTACCCAGAGCTTAATCCCCTCCCTCCCTAGACACATCCAGAGCCCCACTGTGACCTGCCTTGTCCCCTCCAATCTGCCAGGGCACCAGTTCTGATCTGCTAGAAAGCTTTCAGGGGCTCCTCACTGCCTACAGGGTGAGACTCAGGATAACCTCTTATCCATTCTAGGCAGCTGGGCATTAACCCTTTTATTTGCTGACTCATGAGGCAGTCTGGGGGTCCTGGAGGGGGGTGAGGGGGGCACATTAAGACTCAGGGCAGTAGCTCCAAAAGTATTTTGAGCATAGCATCAGCCCTGTCTTCAGACAAGGTCCCAAGTCCTTGACCTTTCATCAAGGTCCTTCACCATCGGGTCCCATCTGACTTCCCCAGTCATTTTTCACATTGCTTCCCCCCACCCCCAGTGTATTGCTCCTGCCAAACCAATACACTCGCTGGCCTTTGAACAAGTTTAAGTTTCCCACTTCTGTGTTCAAGTTTCCCACTTCTGTGTTCTTGCTTTACCTGGTTCTACTTAACCAGAATGCTCCTCCCATCCCGCTAGTACCAACCGAATACTATCCATCCTTGGAAACTCAGTTCCTGGAAGCTGCCTTCCACAGTTCTTGTTTTGAAACTTGTAGCAATTGCCACTCTTTTGGCAACTGATCACAAACAGCCTGTGACATCTCCTTTGTTATAATCACAAACTGTTACTTAAATCTTCAACGACCTGGACTTATTTAGTCACCCCATTTAGTGTGTTACTTTCTGAGGGGCGGACGGCTGTAGCGCCCACAGAGCAGGGCACACTACATAAGAAGCATTTAGTGAGCATCAGCGAACGGTTACTGATTGAGCTGGTGAGTGATGGGGACCAAACTTTGAGGTAGGTGATGCTGACCTCCCTTTTGCACAGGCACTCACCCCAGGTGCTCCACTGCCCAGGGCCCGCACTCCCTGGTTCAGTGCCCTCATGGCCTCCCCACCCCCAGCCTCCACACCCAAGACTTGTTACTACTTTGAATGTCCTCTACCCCTAAAGAAACTTCCCTGTCAGTTTCTTTCCTAACTCAAAGTGTTAAATTAGCTAATATGATAAACTAACCTGTGCTGATATAGTTATGGGAGAAGGCTAGAGGAGAACCAGAAGACAGGTTTCTTTTAACCAGCGTCGTGTGGCAACAACATCCCTGCCTTTGTGATGGTTTAATGGAGTCAAGAGACTCGCTCCTCGCCCCCAGCAACTGATGTATTACTCCCCCCTTTGGGCTCCCACAGCACTTTGTATATACCTCTTACTGTAGCACTTAGCACATGTAGGTCCTTAGTTATATGTTTGTTTCCCCTCCAATAGACTGTGAGCTCCTCAAGGACAGGGACTGTGTGTTAGTCACTGATGTATCCCCAGCGCCTAGCACAGTGCCTGGCACACAGTAGGTGCTCAATAAATGTTTATTGAAAGAATGAATGAGTCCTGTATATAATCATGGGGACTGTGGCCCTATGCTGTGGCAGGCAAGAGGGGAGGAGGACAACCCATATTGGGGGCTACCACAGCTTTTTTACTTCTCATATAACACTGCAGGCAGCTGCTTCCTTTGCCTGGGTCTGTGGCCACAAGGAGCACAAGGCTGCTTCCAGCTGTGCCTTGCTGTCACCAGGTGTTGCGGACAACTCTGAACTCCTGCCCTTAGCTGCTGCCCCTTCCTGGGACAGCCTCATGACCATTTCCTCATTCCGGAGTGGGACTGAGTGACAGAAAGGTCAGGCCCAGTGGGAGGGGCAGGACAAGAAGTTATTCTCACGAACATAGGTCTTTACTGACCCCATTACATATTTTTAAAGATGCCACTGCCTCCAGCT